CTTTGATTTAATTAAGACAACATTATATAACTTTATAAACAAAATTCTATTTACAAAAACTATGAATTAGGAAAATACATATCAATTAATTAAGCAAACCATGATATCAATGATGGCCCTTTTCATCAATTAATTAATTTTGTTACTGCAAAATATAATCATAGAAAATGAAATAATCATTTTTATTTATAAATATATGGATAGAGATTGTTAGTGGTGTGAGTGCATTTGCTTTTGGCATTTTGCATCTCATGATTGATATATTTTGTAATTCTCGTCATTTTTAAATTCTTCTTTCGCTTTAAATACTTGTTTGAAACTATTTTTATCAAAATTATATGATGTATGCATCCAATAATTCGTGGAAAACGTTATCAAGATCATGACTTTTTTACTTTTTGAAATTGGGTCGTGTCCAACATTTGATGTTTCGAAAATGTCCAAACGAGAAATGACAAAATAATACCCTTTTTATTAAAGATTTCAAATAAATATGATTAAAACGTGATTAATTAACTATATTTCCTTTACAACTCTTTGACATGTGTTGTGTTACGGGATGGTTGTGGTTGTGGTTGTTGAGTAAACGTTTGAAATTTTAGATGCAAATACCATGGATTTGGAGAGCATTGGAGTTAGAACCTCTTGTTGCTTTGAGGGTATTCCAAACAAACTCTCTTTTTAAACATACGTCCAAATTCATTATACAAAAGAAAGTCAACTTTGTCCCATGATTGTTGGTCAAAGTTGTAAGTTACAATGACTTGTGAACTGTGTTTTTTCCTTCAATTTATTTAAATCATACAAAAAATAAAAAAAGAGTTTCGATTATTGACGTCGAATCTTGTTTTGTTTTACATGGTGCCGGATACGTAGTGTAAATGAGCTAAAAGAGTTGTGATTTTTTTGAACAAAAATGTGGTTGAAACAAGACCGTCATCGAAACATATTTAAATTAGTAATATAAAGGTAAATGTGCTCGTTTTGAATTCGTTGTGACGACCAGAATAACGTATTCAATATTCTTATATTGAGAAAAAGTTGATTGAACTTGAACGATCACTCACAAGCTATGGTAGTGTGTTGGTCTTGAAACATATTTTACATATAAAACCACTCACACACACACATATGGTTGGGTTTCGATGAGAACTCTTCCTTTTAACAAGAACAAATACGGAGTTGTTGATCTCTTTTGGTCCAACTGAGCTTGTTGCACGCGTTTTTTGCAAATGATTAATACTGTTGTCTTTTGGTTTTCTACATTCTAGCACGATCTAATCGATTTTGAAAGCATGTAAAGTTTCGATAATAATTTTCCTATGAAAATGTAGTAGTAAAGGTATGTGGAGTTTAGTAAAGCTATGTGAAATTTAATCAAGGTATGTGCATGTTCAGTGTTTTTCATTTGACGGTATGTGAAGTTTTGACATTTTTCATGTTAAGGTATATTTGTGTGTACAGGTTAAGTTTGTTTTATAATGTTATGATACATACATATTTAGTGTGTTATAAGTTAAAGTATGTAAAGGTTTGTGAAAGTAAGCAACGATATGTACAAGTTCAATATTTTCATATGAAGGTATGTGCAGACCCCGATATCCCTTACAATAATGCCACTAAAATTCCATTTATTTACAAAAATGCTCCATGTCTATAAATGGAAATTCATTAGGGAGATGACAGAATTGGTGTATAACTTAGACCTTGTTTGTCAAACACAAGCTAACTTATTTTTTATGTAGACGTTTGGATGGACATAAGCTAGTTTATTAAAACGTTAGTTAAGTAGCTTGTGAGAAGCTTTTTGTCACTTTTTCTAGTTATAAACTCTCATTAATATTAATTGTTGTTTATTACTATTAATTATAACTAAATAGTAATTACTAATAAATAAGAATTAATTATTACCGATATTAATAAATAATAATTAATATTAGTTG